ATGCGATATAGAATGGTTGGGCTCTGTGTGCGAGTGCTTTAAGCAGGGCATTGCACTCGTCGAACGCTTTCGCCGCATCCCCGCAATTCGCATCCGAGAGCTCCAACATTCGGCTGGCTGCCAAAAGCGTTGCTCTCTCTCTCTCCTCTCTTTGTGCCACTGCCTGAGAGAGAGAATAGCTCTGATAATTCGGCAGCCTCCTGGTTCCAGCCGAAATATCTTTCCCGCCTCCACATGCGCCGCTCCCACCATATAATTACAAGATAAGCGCTCAGAGGCAGCGGCGCTCAGAGTTGTCGCAGGTGGCGACATTACAGCATTCCTTTCAACACGGGACCAGGGACCAGGGACCAGGAGCGACAGGCGAAACCCTGCGAAATCCTGGAAACTTTGCTCCGTCATGAATGAATCTTTTGCGGTGCTGCGAGTGCGCTATAAGCGAACACGAATCCTTGATGCCTGGTTAATATTTGCGGAATCGATAAGTTTGAATCGATTGGGAAATGGTCCACGGGGACGGGCAGTTGTGGGTGTTTTAAAATGAAATAGAGCGGTGGGAAATTATGAAACTAGGATGGGAGTTCATGGAATGGCAGAGCATGGTAATAGGCTGGGATTGTTTAAAGTGGAATAGCAGTGGATATGCTGATTTTGGATATGGTGAAATTGGGATAGGATTGCAAGAAATCAGACGGGATGAAATGATATTGTTTTGTGTGCGGGATGATACGGATAGGGTTAGGAATGGAATATCATAAGATACAATTGGGATAGGACGAGTTAAGCTACAAAAATGTGTGTTCAGGATGGGTTGACCAGAATGATTGATTAGTGGAAATCTCCACTCCCAGATCTCTATAAGGCAATTTACTAATTAAATTTGTTGTGACTGTACCTAAAGTATGCATTTTACGCCTCATTACTGATTTCCTGCCCCATCCAACAGCTATAAATCCCTGTCTACCTCTATTTCCAGAGCTTTACAACCCTGTCAACCGTATTCCTGCAACTCCACAACCCTGTTCTCGTAATAGAAAGCACCGAACAACCCTGGGATAGGGGCCTATTTGTGGATACAACATTCGGACTGCGAAAGGAACCCCGCAATCGGGAGTCCCGCTACGGCATTACAGGTTACATGGCCCCGTCCGGGATTTGCAGGGGCCGGCGCTCAGGAACAGCCAACGGCCGCCACGCGGCATGAACAGAACGAAGGACAACAGTTACAGCCTCCGACTAGGAATGCGACGGCCGTTATACCAAAGCGAAAGAAGGATGGTGGGAGGGGGAAGCCGAAACAAATCTAAGCGAAGCAGAGATGGGGAGCAGGAGGCAGAGCAAGCAGCGAGATGGGGAGCAGCAGAAGGCAGAGGAGAAAGCAGAGCGATGGGGGGAGCAGAGGGCGAAGAGAAAAGAGAATGCGCAGAGGGGCAGAGCAAGAGTCAGAGCCAGAGAATATTGTTACAGAAGAGAAAGGGAAAAGTCTAGTGGGAGCCAGAATATCGATTGGATGGATGGGTGGTACATACTCCTGCTCCTCCTCCTCCTAGCTCCCACTCGTGGAATGGGGCGTGCTGGAATTCCCTGTTTTTGTGTTGCGTAAACCCCAGGATGAACAGAGAGAGAGAGAGAGAGAGAGAGACTCTCTCCAGAGGAGCGAAGAGTATCCGCCGTGCCGTGGCGTAGGACCAAAAGTTTGGCGCGAAATTTTCGATTAATGAAAATGTGCCTCCAACGAAAATGTTGTGTGTGCAGCAGCATCGCTCTCTCTGTCTCTCTGTCGCTTTACTCTCATTCTCTACCCCTTTTTTGTTGCGAAAGTGTGCAACTCATGTGGTGAGGTACGGGGGGGATGGATGGTAGGCGTGGCACTTCCCCATTGCTCTTTCATCTGTCAGAAAATGTTGTCCGGCGTTCAGAGAATCCCACGCAGCATCCACAAAAGATTTCCCACCGAATATTGAGCTTGCCGCTCTTTTCTGCCTCTTGTTTTCCATTTTTGGACACAGAAAATACAGTCAAAAAATCGGTGGAAAATCGGTAAAATGTCAAACTGATTTCTGTTTCAGTTTTCGCGCTGATGTTTCAGCTTTCAGTTCCTGTTCCTCTTCCTGTGTGCTCCGAGGGATTCCCTTAGCATGGGTGGGGGTGGGCAGGGGAGTGCCACTCGTTATGCAAATTTTATTGAAATGCTTATGCCAAACGATTATGTCAAAGTTTTACATGGTTAAAGCGAGTTTAATGCGACAGTTTTCGGCAGTGGATCCTTGGGGTTTCATGTCCTTGCCTTTGTTTTACACGTGGGACTCCTCAGCCTTTCAGCCTCTTGTTGCCTCGCTTTTGGCAGGCAGGCTCTCAACCTTCAGCCTCCTCTCAACCTGCTGCTGCACGATGGGCATACCCCGTCCATCCTTTCATTCTCTACATATACTCCACTCCCGACCCACTGCTCCCCCTGATTTCTGCTGATTATGACAGCAGAACATGTTGCGCTCAAAGGGTAGGTGCTTCGGCTGGGGGCTGCCGCTTAAATTGTTTGCTTATAAATAAAGCATTAAGCTATTGATTAAAATTGAGCTTTAAAAAATTCACTGCACACAACGTTCCGTTGCCGTTGCCTCTGCCGTTGTGCGTTTCGGTCCCCATCGTTCAGTTCGGTTCGGGTCTGATATGGTGGCACATGTGGGGAAAGAGGCGGGCATTGGTATGGGACTCCAGAGTGTACGCTGGTTTCAATTGAATGCGAAGTTTACACAAACAGAAAGACAGGCGAGGTTGAGAGTCAGAGAGGAGGCTGTGGCACACACATCCTTCTGTTGATGGCTGAAAACTGTCCTGCGGCTTTTGTGCACATGTTGAATGTGTTGCAAGCTTAAAGCGAAAGATGCTTTCGACAAGGGGCAGGCAGCATGATGAAAACTTTAATGAAAAGCGGGTACTGCTATGATACGGAAAACTTTTTGGTGGCTAGAGGAGAGAGTTATTTCGAGATATGCAAACTAGATGGTGGTTGGGAGTAAAGGCAGGAATATGTATGCAGATTATATGTTGGTAATTTGCTTATAGGAAGGGATCTTACAATTGTACCCAAGTTACACAGATTTAGAACGAGTTCCATTCATACTCTTACTGTGCTTTGTCTATGGGTTACTTCCCTTTTTACTCCATGCCACACTCTTGGCATGTTTTGGCTATCTATTACCGCTTCTGCTCTCCCAATCTCTAAGAAAATCCAACAATTTCCACAGCGTCAGTGGAATTTCCCGAGCAAGCAGCAAAAAGCAATTCAAAAATTCATTGACTAAAAACTTGGACAACAAAAAACGTAACAAAAACAAGAACAAATAATACAAAAGAAAATACAAAAAAAAATAATGAAAAAATTATAACAAAAATGTCAATAATCACAATTCCAATGAGCCAACAATTTGTCAGAGTGGGCCAATGATAGGTTATCAGAGTGGGAGAAGTAGGAGAGAGGCAGAAGTGTAGGGGGAGTACGAGTACTTAGTAGTAGTAGATGGGATGGGAGGGGGGTCTCTACTCTGTGTGGCATGGACATGGAACATGGAATGCGACGGATGGATTTGACATTATCTGCCATAAAGATTACAAAAGTTGACTTTGCCTCCGCCACTGCCTCTGTCTCAATGAATGCACGTCATAAAAACGTTTTTATGAAGGCTCAAAAAGGGGTCTGAGGTGGAGCAGAGGAACTCCTTCTATAACTCACCCTCCAACGATTTTGGGTCTGCTTTTAGTGGTCTACGATTACATTATCTTGATTTAAGTTTACATTTTGCCGGGGGGAGCAGCTCCTCCTCTCTTTCTGTTTTATTTTCTTTATCACTTCCCCAAGCAAAAAGTGCAACGTCACGTTGTGGGGTTCTGTGGGTGGGGGAGGCCTGAAAGTTTTGTTTAAAACTCAACAAGTTGAGGTCGTCCCTCTTTGGTTTATCTTTTTTTATTTGCATTGAAAAATATTTACACAACCGAAGAGCAGACGACACTTAGACGACAAAAATCATCAGGAAGATGATGCGCAGATGGCAAAGATATGACAAGATTATGATATGACGAACAGACAAAAGTCAAGTAAAGAGATCTCTGTTTTTCGGTAAGATAAGACAAAAGACTTATGAACTTTAGCGGCAGAGTGAGAGCGCAAAAGAGTCAATGAATGGCTGAGAGGGTGGGGGCTAGGTGGAAGAAATCTTAAATGATGAAATTGAAGGAAATATGAAGTCGGGGTAATAGCAAATAATGATGAAAATGCGAAGATATCAGAGATTTATGAGTGGAAATTCTTGACTTGAGCGTCTGTAGATATGCGAAATTCTATGCCAAAATCTTTTTTACCTTAAGCTTTTCTGGTTCCTAATCATTTGAAACTTGGCAGACATCAAACCTGCAATATGTATCTCTCCAAACAAAACCCTTATTTTCCATTATCTATCCATTAATGTAACTCATTCCCATTCTTGAAGGATTTGTGCATTACAATCAAAGTTCCTCTCACACCTGAAGGACTAGTTTTTTTTTTCTTTTCCCGACAGCTAATTGAGAAACACTTTGAAACATTTACCACTTACACACCACACACCGCATCCGCATCCTGCACCCGCCCCCCCAACACCATACTTTCGTGTTTTCTGTGCAATCCATTTCCACAGTTTGTTGCCACAGTTTCAGAGCAATTAGTTTGAGTGCGATTGGACAAGGCGAATGATGGAAGGTTGTGGGGCATACAACGCTCGTAGTACTCGTAAATGCGGAATGAAGAGAGACAGAGAGTAGTAAAGAGGGAGAGAGCGGGGATGTATAACCCCTAGGGGGCAGGGTAATCGAAGAGCAAGACAATGACAGAGGCACTTAAGGCGTCTGAGAAAAGGGGAAGCTTCACCTCCTGCTCCTGCTCCTTCTCCACAAAGATTGACAGCCATTCCTCAAACTAAAATACAACAACCCACCCCCACCCAACAAAAGCCACAGGATCCACTCTTCTTCCATCTCGCTCTCCCTTTCCCTCTCTCTCTCTCTGAATGAATGAATGGTTATTCAATTGAATTTGGCTTTTTTTTCCTGTTGTGTGTGTGTTTTCGGGAGGGTAGGGGGGGTGTTTAATATAAAGCAATTTTCCTCTTAAATTCACTTCAATAAACAATTACTTTTCGGTGGGCAGGAACCCCAAATAGATTACATACATCGCCTATGCACACATGTACATACATCAATCATTCATATGTACATCACGCACGCACATCATTCAAACAAAGCTGGAGAAATACGCTCAAATCAATCGAAATGCTGAAATATTTTTAAGTTTCTCCTAAGGTCATCCCTTAATCGATGTTCGTTTCACCTCACAGTCAGAACTGGGCTATTCGATAGAGAAAAGAGCTTCTATGGTTCAAGGAAGTGGACAACACAAAGGTCATTCCTGGCAAAAGCAATCCATTTGATTGTTCATTGCATTGATTAAAGAAAGAAGAGATTTCAGTGGTATTTCATTAGGAAATGTCAACTGGAAAAATATAGCAGAGTTCACACGATCTGAAAGAATACTAAAAAGAAGCTCATGGAAGGGCGATGATTGGCAGAAAATGTGAAGAAGGAGAAGCTGAAAATGGAGGATAGCCGTAAGAATGGCAAGAATAAATTGAAGGAAAACTTGAAGAATGAGAAAAGATGAAAATGGAGGACAAAGGGTAAAAGAAAGAGCAGACTAGAACGAAGAGCGAGCACACGCATAAATAACAGACAACTGGCGTCAGTGGCAACACAAAAAATGAGGCACAAAATAGGGACTAGAAGAAAGGGAAGTCATCATGGGGAGAAAGCAGAGCACGAGGGCAGGAGCGTAGAATTGGAGACAGTAGGTTAGAAGATGTATAAGAGTTGCAAAAGGAGGCCAGGGAAATGAAGAGGTAGGGGGAAGTAGAGCCAAGGACCATGAAAAGAAAGGTAAGGAAGTGCTGGGGAAAGGTTTTTCTAGAAACTTCTGGCGCCAGGTGAGCTTTAGAGTGGCAAAAGGGTGCGAGGACAAGTACCACACCTTCAATTCACATATCTTCTAGGACGGACCGGCGTCAAGGATAACAAGCGATGCTCGAGAGTCTTCTCCAGCACAGTTTTCCCTCATTTCCCTCGCCTCATTGTATGTCAGTCTGTGTGTGTGTGTGTGTGCCGTGCACCTTGTTGTCTGTGTCTCAAGTGGAAAACTGCGAAATCGTTTAACACGCACCACACACACCCTATACGTCTTCCCCCACACCCAACTCGCACTCTCCCACACGCTCTCCCACAAACTTGACCCAATTCCTGTGCGTGAATCATTTTTCCCTCTGCCTGTATGTGTGTGTATCTTTTCTTTCGGTGTGTGTGTATGTGTATGTGTATGTGTGTTTGCTTTTCATTCTGGTGAAAAATGTCGTTTATGAAGCGCTTATTGTGTTTGGCTTGTGGTAGCCACTCGCCCTGTCCCCTGTCCCCTGTCCCCTGTCCATGTCCCCACTCCACCCTGTGCTTCCGTTTCCGCACTTGAATGGCGTGCGCCACAATGGCTGCTCCCTTGGCCTGTCCTCCATCTCCGCCTCTGCCTCTGCCCCTGCCTCTGCCACTGCCACTGCCTCTTTCATGCCACATAGCAATCTCCCATCCAACTGTTGTTTGCGGCATGCGCCGATGCCTTTGTCCAGCTTTTGGTCACACGCTTCTCTCTTGGGTTTTGCTCTCGTTTTTTGTATACCCTTTGCAGATAGAGCGATGAAGAGATGGTATGATGGTTAAGTGGAGAAGAAAGTTTTATAAATAGGAGCTGGTAGGATGTACAGATGGATTCCTGATCACTACAACTATCTGTATTTATATTTCTATCTTCCCGAAGCGATGTCTGGCTGATACTTCCCTTCCTTCATGTCATATTCCCCTACACTCAATCTTTGCTCTTCCCCAAATCCCTGCCTGCTGCTTTCTTGTTTTTATCATCTGCCTGCTTTCTTCTGTCGTTCTTTCTGCCCATTCTTTGTTCCATTCTTCTACGGCTGACAGTTGGGTCCGAAACATTTTACGCATCTTTGCTGAGGATATGGAGGATACGAGCTGCATGGCATGGGGAATGGCTTGGTGTGTGTGTGTGTGTGTGTGGAGGAGGGGGAGTGGGATACGTGTTCCTACTCTGTCCACTTTGACAGCAACCGGGAAACGGAAACGGAAATTTTGTGCCCATGCGTTTCCATTCTCCGTGTTGACGACTGCCGGGCTTTTTCTCCGATGCGTTGGAAAATGGTAGGAGAGAAAAGCAGAGTGCGGGGCGGAGTGTGGGCAAATGGGGAGGAGAAAAGTGAACACAAGAGCAGAGTGAAAAGCGGACAGGGCAGAGCAGAACAGAACATAGGCAAAAGCAGAGTGGGGTGTGGCTGATGAGCAGCAGGAGGAGGAGGAGTAGGACATGTTGGCTTTTGTCCAACACACACAAGGCCGGGTGACACACCACCCTACTCCTACCCCTCCCCACCCAGCAAACTAATCCACACTCATCCCCCATTTTCCCAGAGAGAGAAAGAGCAGAACAGAACAAAACTTGCTTTGCTTTTTCCAAAATTTTTAAAAATTTCTAAACTTTTGTTTCGATCCAGTTTTGTTCTTTCCTTTTGTTGCGTGATTTGTCGTCGAACCATAGTTCCGGAGGGGGTTTGGGGGCCGGGGATATAAGTAGAGCAGAGGTGAGCAATGAGAGATGACAGTCCAATACATTGGGAGATGGAGAGAGATCTATGGACCGAAAATAAACAAAAATCAAAATTATATTAAGTTCGTGAAATGATTTCCAAATCCAATAAAGCAGCGTTTGACAGCGTCAAATACAATGTTCCATAGTACATGAATTAGTTTATGGAGCCTTCCTCTATCCTTTTTTCAATCCTTAATATTCTCCACAAGCTTCAAGAGTCTTAAAGAGTCTGCGGATTGTAGATTATAGCCACTAATCTCTTTACTCTTCCCAGTCTCATTCCTCACTGTATCCTTATGCCAATTTCTATTCCTAAAACATGTCCTATCTCCCCCCTTTACCTATCCTCTGCTCTGCTCTGCTCTGCCCCTTGACCAATCTGTCCCCCCTGTAAAAACACAAAACTCCCATCGCATATCACAAGTTTTTAATAAAATGTAAATTATTCTTCCCTCGTTTTTTTCCTGTTGTTTGATAAATGTCTATTGGAAAAAGTTTCCTTCTGTTTCTCTGCTTCTGTTGTGTGTGTGTGTGTGTGTGTGTGTGTGCATGTGTTCCATGTGCTTTATTGAGGTTTTCTTTAGACTACCCTCCCGAGTACTCCTCCTCCTGCACTTTCGAATGTTCCCCAGCATTTTCCTCCTTTTCAGTGTTCCAGTTTTTTCTTCGACTTTTGCTACTGCTTTCTGGTTATTCTTGTGGTTTTTGTGGTTTCGGCAATATTTTATTCATAGTTGACACGAAATGCGTAACAAATCGTTTTGGAGCCGTCTTTCGACTGAAGTGGAAGTGGGGAAGTGGAAATGGAAGCCAGAGTCGAAGTCAAATCCGGGAGGCAGCCGCCCCTGGCAGAATTTATAGTTTTGGCCTCTCGAACACGTCTCCCCTTTCAAATCAAAAATAAATAAATATTCTCCAGCGACACATTTTGGATACGAAGAAGGTCTGGAGCTGGGGCAAGGACAGTGGCTGGGGCTGGGGCTGGCAGATGGCTTATAAAAACTCGACTAAAAGTGAAATTTGCATAACAGTTTTTGTTGTTGCTTTCTGGGGGATTCCCCCGGAAACGATTCCCTACTTTGATGGGACTCTAATTTCCCACAATGATTGAGGGGATGATCTATAATTGATTCTGGAGCTAATTCTGAACTCCTTTCCTTTTCCCTCTTTTGTGCTCTAAATTTTTGGAAGCATCAGCTTTTTGGCCAAAAAAAAAGTTCAAAACGAGCGGAAAGAGTAATGCAAACAAACACAAACAAACAAACAAAATCTCTTGTTGCAAATCCAATTCCAAGCCGCCGCTGTCCACTGTGGAAAAAAAAGTTGCAGCCTTTGCATTTGTCTGCCGTCACACAATTTTTTTCGCGCCAAATGCAGGAAAGTGAAGAGGCTGGAGGGAGGAGGGTGGAGGGAGGAGGTCCCGCAGGCAAGAAGCGGAAGACTCGCTCCAGACTTTGGTTTCGGGTTTCAGCGCCACTTGCTGCTGTTGCATGGCTCCCCTCCTGCTCAGACACCCTTTTCGGCAGCGGAGTGTGGAGTGGGGAGTGAAGTGTTCTTCTCGTAACTTGACATCGAAGGAGCCTCAAAATGTGGATAGAGAGAGAGAGAGAGAGAGAGAGAGAGAAAGGGGCCACACCGCACGTGCAACGGCAAAAGCAAACGTTGCAAGTTTTGTCGATTTTTTTTGTTCATTTTTTGGCGGGAACATTTTATAAACAGGCTTCGGGTGCCCGCCAGGGTCCAGAGTCCAGGTACCAGACATCGTTTCATATTTATTCACGCCAACGTTGGACAAATAGAGGAGACACCCTGTAGGTGCAAGCATGTAGCGCGAAGGGGGAGTAGATATAAAGGGGCTAACCATGTCACCATTTTATGAAACCCAAACATTTGGTCGGCTCATGTGAACCCACGCTAATCCATTTTCGCAAAAGCATACAAAAGAAAGGGGTGCCAAGAGGGGGTAGGGTAGAGAGAGAGAGAGAGAGAGAGAGATCGGCATAGAGGGGGGGCTGTGTGGTGCCTGTGGTGTTGCAAGGTTAGATGAGTGGGCGGGGCAGGAGTGGCGGCGGCGACCACCAGTGGCAGCGGTGGGCGGCAGACATCGTTCGCCAAAAGCAAACAGATCAGGCGACGGGCGGCGTTATCTGACTGGAATGACTCTCCCGACGGTGCGAAGCGATGGCGACAGAGACGGCGACAACAGAGAGACAGTTATGTAACGTGAGCAATGCACTGAGAGAAATATGTATCAAAAGATCTAATATTCTTACTACAAATATTCCATAAGGTAAACCCACTTTGGG